AGGTTCCTTGCAGAAAAATGGCAGCAGGCGCTCTGGACTGATGAGTCAAAATGTTAAATATATGGCTGTAGCATGAGGCAGTTTGTTTGCCAAAGGGCTGGAAGCGGTATAATGAGTGTCTGTAGGCAACAGTGAAGCATGATGGAGGTTCCTTGCAAGTTTGGGGCTGCATTTCTACACATGAAGATTTGGTCAGGATCAATGCTGAAAATGCAGGCAGATACTTGTACATCATTCCATTAGGGAGGCGTGTGATTGGCCCCAAATATATTCTGCAACAGGACAACAACCCCAAACATACAACCAATTGCATTAAAAACTTTTCTAAAGAACAAGTAGTCCTGGAAGTGATGGTTTTGCACCCACAGAGCCTTGATCTCAACATCACTGAGTCTGTCCATGGGTTACATGAAAAGACATAAGGATTTGAGGCAGCCTACATCCATAGAAGATCTGTGGTTAGTGTTCCAAGATGTTGGAACAACCTACATGCGGAGTTCCTTCAAAAACTGTGTGCAAGTGTACCTAGAAAAATTGATGCTATTTTGAAGGGTGGTCACACCAAAAATTGATTTGGATTTCTCTTCTGTTCATATACTTTTCATTTCGTTAACTGATAAAAATAAACTAATAACTTATGCACAGTAGTGCATATCCTATCCTGCCTTCACCCTCCTTCATAGGCACTCCCCTGCAAGGGTCTTCAGGAACAGGGCACTGCCACTGGCCCAGACATCAGTGCCCTCCGGGGATAAAAAGAAAGGAGAGAGTAAGGAGTGGACCAGAGATCAGAGTGCAGAACACAAATGGGTGCAGCACTCCACCCTGCAGATGACATCAGCTATCAATCCATCAATGTCTGCTGCCTCAGCAGTAAAAGCAGCAGCAGTGGGAAAGTTGAAAAGCATCCAAAAGGTTTAAATAAAGTAGCTCCCAATGCTAAGCAGGAAGGAGTCTCTGGACTTGGAATACCCTCCACAGTTAACTTTTACCAGTACTGGAAATCTGTAAAGTGCCCTGAACATCCAGTCCAATGAGTCTAGGGATGACGTGATCTGGTTAGAGCCCTGAAGAGACCAGCACAAGTATGTACCTATGTAGGGAGAAGTATTGACTTAAGTCAAATGTAGAAGAATCCAAACAAAATCGAAGAAAAAAGGCTAGCAAGATTTGCACTTTTCTCAGCACAGCTGGAGAAAAGATGTCCATCATCCCAGGACAATAGCAATATATTTAGGCAAGCTGGGTAAAGGATGGGTTGATCCTGGGCTGGCTTACATTTTTTTGTTTGTCAATGTTCAATTTTCCAGTAGCCAGCAGTATAACGTGACAGAATCTGAATCTCTTACTCCATTCTCTCCCTGTTCTTTTCATATGTAGTCCTATAGGTTTTCTGTTAAGAAGAGACCATCAAAGAAAGCAGCAACTGCTGGGTATTCTCTTTAGAAAATCCAAAATGTTCTGTACTTGTTCCCTTGTCCATTCACAGAAAACCTTGTGTTTGTGAATGGTTCACAGGACACAAGATATTCTGTGAATAGACACGGGGGGGTGGATAAAACACTTCCCTTTATGAGAACAGCAGCTTTCATACGAACAGCAAAAGGGCAATGCATAAATAGCTGAGTTTTCTGGCATATACAGTACAAGTGTATAAATAGCCATGAACTTCTATTTACAGTTCAACACACCTGCCCAGTGGTATTTTTTTTAATTACAATTAAGAATTTAAAAAGAAAAATGCTTGTGCCTGGTGTCCCACTCTAACAGTTAAATAAAAACTGAAATCTTAGCAGGACATATGCAAGTGCCATGGGTGGACTACATGTACTGTAGTATGTGAACGGAGTTAGGCATACATTTGAATAATAGTGTGCATGGAATTAAATGTATCTGCAAATTAGAAATCTACGTGGAGAAATCTCTTTAATGTACTGGATTTCCACTGTCTGACACTTGTAATCTTGAAAAATCTGGATGACCGCTTGAAATTTGTTGGTAAAAAATAAAATCTTACCAGAAAAAATAATTCTTAACCAGCAATGTTTAATTATAACATTTTAGCCACTTTCAAATTGGCAAAAAATAAAATAAAATAAACAAAAAATTAAAACTACCATCAAATAATATTAGTAAATGTCTGGTAATTAGAAAGGCAAAGTAAAAACGACTATGCTGTTGGTCTAAGCTGTCTGTTCTTACCTATAAGACTTGTGCAACTCAGCAACTTTAGCCTCCAGATCCTTGGTCTGATTTGGACTCAGTTTAAACTCACTGACATACTCTGTGCCATGTAGATCTTCATCATAGTCTCCCACCTCAGACTGAACTGTGTAAGAACCCAGAAGAGCAAGAGTGGCAAAGGAGCATGGCAGACGCCCAGCTAAAATATCTTGTCGCAACTGGAGGCAAAGGTAATATCTAGGAAAGGAATCCAAAATCAAAATTAGTGTATATGTACTACAAAAATCACACACACACACAGTAAAATAAGTATTGAACATGTCGCCATTTTTCCATACATGAAGGTCCTCTTCTATGAACTCTGATCTTTAGTTCTTTCCATAGATTTTCTATTGGATTCAAGTCAGATGATTGGCTGGGCCATTCTAGCAGCTTTATTTTCTTTTTTTCTTTGAAACCAATATAGACTTTCCTTGGCTTTGTGTTTGGGATCATTGCCTTGCTGAAATGTCCACCCTCGTTTAATTTTCATTATCCTGGTAGACAGCAGCAGATTTTTATCAAGAATGTACATTCATCCTTCCTTCAATGAGATGAAGTTTGCAAGTACCATATGCTGAAAATTAGCCCCACACCATGATGTTCCCACCTCCAATCTTCACTGTTGGTATGGTGTTTTTGGGGTGATGTGCAGTGCCATTTGACTTCCAAACATGGTGTGCATTACAACATCCAAAAGGAGTTCAATTTTGGTCTCATCTGACCAGACTATATTCTCCCATTATTTGACAGGCTTGTCAAAATGTTGTGCAGTAAATGTTAAACTAGCTTCAACATGCTTTTTCTTCAGCGACGGAGTCTTGCATGGTGAGCATGCATACAGGCCATGGTGGTTTAGTGCATTACTTATTGTTTTCTTTGAAACAATTGTACCTGCTATGTCCAGGTATTTCTGAAGATCTCCACAAATGGTCCTTGGCTCTTGGACAATTCTTCTGATAATTCTTTTCACTCCTCTGTCATAAATCTTGCAAGGAGAACCTGGTAGAGGACGGTTTATTTTATGGTGAAATGATGTTTCAACTTCCGGATTATGGCCCCAACAGTGCTCACAGGAACATTCAGGAGTTTAGAAATCCTTCTGTAACCAAGGCCCTCAGTTGAGACTGAAAAAGTTGATATTAATTTGCACTGACAAGGGGCTCGATTGCTTTCTAATTACTGATAGATTTCAGCTGGTTTCTTGGCTTTCCATGCCATTTTCCACCTCCCTTTCTTCACATGTTCAATACTTTTCCCCTGTGTCAATCAATTTTATTACACATAAACTTAATATCTGAACTTATTTTACCCACTGTGTGTGTGTGTATATATATATATATATATATATATATATATATATATATATATATACATACATACATACACACACACACACACACACTGTGCATACATAACACACACACACTGCTCAAAGAAATTAAAGGAAAACATCAAATCTCAATGGGGAAAAATATCATGCTGGATTTCTATACTGATATGGACTGGGTAATGTGTTAGGAATGTACGGATGCCCCATCGTTTGATTTTCGGGGTGACTTTGAATTCAGTCCTCTGCAGGTTGATAATTTTCATTTCCATCAAAGTGAAAAAAATTGAGCAGCAGGCTAGTCCATTTTGCGGAAATTTTTATTGCAGCAACTTGAAATGGTACTCAGTAGTTTGTATGGCCCCCACGTGCTTGTATGCATGCCTGACAATGTCGGGGCATGCTGCTAATGAGAGGACTGATGGTGTCCTGTGGTATTTCTGCCCAGATCTGGACCAGGGCATCACTGAGCTCCTGGACAGTCTGAGGTGCAACCTGACGTTGTCGGGTGGACTGAAACATGATATCCAAGAGGTGTTCTATTAGATTCAGATCAGGCGAGCGTGGGGGCCATTCAATGGTATCAATTCCTTCATCCTCCAGGAACTGCCTGCATACTCTCGCCACATGAGGCCGGGCATTGTCGTGCACCAGGAACCCAGGACCCACTGCACCAGTGTAGGGTCTGACAATGGGTCCAAGGATTTCCCGATACCTAATGGCAGTCAGGGTGCCATTGTCTACCCTTGTAGAAGCCTGTGCGTCCTTCCATGGATATGCCTCCCCAGACCATCACTGACCCACCACCAAAACAGTCATGCTGAACGATGTTACAGACAGCATATTGTTCTCCATGGCTTCTCCAGACCCTTTCACGTCTGTTACATGTGGTCAGGATGAACCTGCCCTCATCTGTGAAAAGCACAGGGCGCCAGTGGCGAACATAATAATTCTGGTGTTCAATGGCAAATACCAACCAAGCTCTATGGTGCTGGGCAGTGAGCACAGGGAACAATAGAGGATGTCGGCCCTCAGGCCACCCTCATGAAGTCCGTTTCTGATTGTTTGGTCAGAGACATTCACACCAGTGGTCTGCTGGGGGTAATTTTGTAGGGTTCTGGCAGTGCTCATCCTGTTCCTCCTTGCACAAAGAAGCAGATACCAGACCTGCTGATGTGTTAACCACTTCCCGACTGGACGTTGTATATATAAACGGCCGGACGGTGGCAGTGCAGGGTCGGGTGGCCGTTTATAAACGGCCTCCCCGCACCCTGTTTGTGCGCGCAGCACCGCGATCCGGTGCCCGCTGTGTCTTCCGGATACAGTGAAACACCGATCGTCAGACGGGACCTCTGTACGAGGTCCCGATAATGTGATCACTGATTGGCCAATCAGTGATCACATGCAAAGTAGTAAGCAAGATGTCACTTGTGACATCATTGCTTACTACGTGTGAAATCTGTGAATGATCACAGAGGTCACATGGTACAAGGCTATTCACAACAGCCTTGTACCATGTGACAAGCTGTGACCAATCACAGCTCACTCAGTACTTCTCAATGAGTGCAAGAATGCAGACAGAGAAAAAAAGAAATGATTGATTTTACATCCTATATGGGTGTAAAAGCAATCGGTGTAAAAAAAAAAAAAAATCTTCATCACCCCCCACAACTAGTACAGTGTCACCATGGTGACACTGTACTGCTAGGGCAGTGGTTCTTAACCTTGTTGGAGGTACTGAACCCCACCAGTTTCATATGCGCATTCACCGAACCCTTCTTAATTGGGAAAAATAAAATATGATTTTTAAAATTCAAAACATAGGTATATATATTTAGGTATATATTTATACATAGGTGCACAAAATGAACAAAACCGTTAAGAACAAAGAACAAAACCATTAAAACATGATTTTCACACAAAAACAAAAACATAATAATGAATATTTACTGCAGGAATCATATGAGTCGGGTGTGGGTCTTCACCTCCGCCGAACCCGCGAGACTGACTCACCGAACCCCTGGGGTTCGATCGAACCCAGGTTAAGAACCACTGTGCTAGGGTGACAGTATGAAAAAAAAATAAAATATAAAAAAAATAAAATAGAAAAAAAAAAAAATGTTTAAAAATTATAATTTTTGGTTCTAAACTAATTTGGATTTTTTTTTTTACTAAAAAAATAACGGAATATATTTTGGCCAAGATTTATGATGAAATATTATTTATTTGCAAAATTTTTAAAAAAAAAAAAAAAAACACTTTTTCAAAATTTTTGGACTTTTTCATTTACATAGCAAGAAAAATAAAGATCCCAGCGGTGAATAAATACCACCAAAATAAAGCTTTATCTGTCTCAAAAAAATTCATTTGGGGACAGTGTGTTGCATGACCGCGCAATTGTCATTGAAAGTGTGATAGCGCAGAAAGCTGAAAATTGCCTTGGTAAGGAAGGGGGTAAAAGTGTCCAGTCTAGAAGTGGTTAAGGACCTTCTACGGCCCTGTCCAGCTCTCCTAGAGTAACTGCCTGTCTCCTTGAATCTCCTCCATGCTCTTGAGACTGTGCTGGGGAGACACAGCAAACCTGGCAATGGCACGTATTAATGTGCCATCCTGGAGGAGTTGGACTGCCTGTGCAACCTCTGTAGGGTCCAGGTATCGCCTCATGCTGACCCTAGCCAAATGCAAAACTAGTGAAAAACAGTAAAAAAAGATGACACATATATACATACATACACACACATATACATACACACACATAATACAACTGATTTCAATTATATTACAGAGACAGGAAAGGACTCTCGTTAGCAGCAGGGTTATAAAGGTTGGGTTTTCTTGAGTTCAATTTTGTTATAGAGGTAGGAAAGGAGACTTGCAAGAGTGACTGTTCTCTAACAGCAGGTGGATAGAAAATGAGCATCCTCCCCACAGACATAAAATTGTTCTCCAGTTTGGCCAGAAAATGGGAAGATCCAGTGACTCATGTCTGAGTGCCCTAAAGACCCCTCCATCCACAACTCAAAAAGTGTTGCTTTCATTTACAGAATGACTTGTATTCTGTGAAAACAAACGGCTTCTTGTGAATGAATAAGAGAATAGGAAAGGGAGGGCTGGAAGTATAGCGCTGTGTTTAAGATCCCACATCATTACAGCTATTTTTGCAGTAACCAGCAGCCATCCTGTGCAGACTATCTATGGATGCACAAAGCCTGGCTCAGAAGCGCATGCGTGCACAGGTGCCCCCTTAGCACATAACTTGCTAAGGAAGCACCCTGGAGAAAAGAGTGGACAGCGCCAGCAGGAGACTGCCAAAGAGAAGGTAAGTGACTGCTCTGTGCAATGTCGCTGCACAGAGCAGGTAAGTATAACATCTTTTTCATTTTAAGAAAAATATCTCCTTTAATATAACTTTAACTTCAGTTTATTATTAAATGTACTTTAACTGACAAAAGGCTCTAATAAGCAGTTACCTGGTAATATCTTCTGTAAGCTGTGCAGGGTCAGGTGGATAAAACTTCACATTGAAGGTAAACTCCCATGGTGCACCTGTAGAAAGACAAAAATATTTTAACTCCTTCATGACAGAAGATAAAACAAATCATAACACCTGAACAGTTTTTCAACTGTTAGAAAAATTGTAAATATCATCGCAACTACTTAGTGTATCCAGTTGAATTATACCTTGTTTTTTTTAAGATAAATTTGTTTTTTATTAGGTGGTAAATGGTAATGGATACCTCCTGATATTCAGGGTGTAAAAGGTTACGATTGGACCGGCCCCCACACCCCCTCAATCCCTGTTGTGACAGCTAGCGGGGGATCTCCTCTTCCCCGCAAGCTGTCACAATTTTTAAAAAACCGTGGCCGAGCGGGGCTCTGTCTGACAGCCCAGCAGCATCACTCATTCACAGTATTCTGTGAATGAGAAATCTACAAGTCCCTGCAAACTTAGTGGCTGTCAGCTTGTAGTTTTTAATGAACTACCTCTGCTCTGTGGAGGGCTTCATTGAGCCTTCCTGTCAGTAAATATCTGCTTGCCCGCACAGGTTGTACTAGTAAGCAGATATACTGACAGGTCAGGGGGAGACATGCATGGCACCAGCAATCAGAAATGCTTCACAAACAAAAAATAATAAATGCACATTTTTTTTTTTACCTGCAAAAAAATGTGCATTTATTATTTTTTGTTAAAAGGTGAACTTATCCTTTAAAGCAGGAAAAAAAAGGTTTGTTTTCAAACACCTCCATGTAACCAGTTACACCATATTAGTGCTCAGATATATGTAAAATATGTTTTAAAATATGGATTAGACACACACTTACAGCTCTCTGTCCCTTCTGCAAGCCAAAGCAAGGGTAGGATAGTAGGAGCTGAAGCACATGCCTATTATATTTCTCATGAATGAGAGGGCACCATAGAAGATGCTGGGCAGGACGGGACCAGGTGGGGCTGCTTTGAGCGGTGCTGTGATTCAAACACAGACACTGACAACGGTCATTACAATAATGCATAATGTAAAAGTTTCAGTTTTTGTACCTATTAACCAAGGGCAGATTTTAACTGGAATTCTACTTCAAAGGCAATTTATCAGAACCACATTACATAGCTGAATTATGTTTAGGTGCTTGCATTTTGAAACTCAATAGTAATAAGTACATTTAAAGACCTGCTATTGGAAATTTCAGTGAATATCATGTTGGTTACAAGAGGACCAAAAAGTACTGGAATTAAAAATATATGCTAATAAACATAATAACTGCCTTATTGCTATTTAGCAAACTAGAGACTACTGGTTTTATCTTAATGCATCCTTGGTAGTTACCCTACAAATCAACCTCATATTCTTTGGTGCAGCTGCATTAGATATTCTAAGGTTCTTCTCAAAATAATACATATGGCAATGTATGTACATTTGCCACAATGCCATATATTTTCACAGACATACATTTTTGAAGATCATCATAGAGGAGTAAACGCTTTTTCCAAGAAGAAAACCTGCACGCTCTTCAGTGTAATTTGTTCAGTTTACTTTTCCCAGCATATATAACATGATTAGAGTGGATTAAAAATAATGCAGACACCATATCTTAAGCTGGTAAGCAGCAAAACCCAGTTTTATTCCTGGGTTCAGATATAATTCAAGGCAACAAGGAAAATAGCAACTCTCTGAACAGTCCCAGGGCGGGACACCAGAAAAGGATAATCAAGGCTGCTCTGTGCAAACCATTACACAGAGCAGGTAAGTATTGCACGTTTGTTATTTTAAGAAAACAAAAAATAAATCTTTAATGTAACTTTAACATTAGGGCATAAATCTTAAAGTGGTTGTAAACCCTGACATATGCCCTGTGAAGTGAATGACCTCAGATGATACACAGAGATTAAACAAATCCTTCTAAATACGTTGTTCCTGTTTATCTGCAGTCATCTTTCCCCTATATCCATTCAAAGTGCAGAATTCACACAGGATCTCCCAGCTCTGAAAAGCAGGGGGCGTGAGCGAAAGTTACACTCAGTGAGAAGCTCTGAGAGATGATTGCAGAGAAGGGACAAACCTCCCTCCACACAACTCACAGCACCAGAACTGAGGCTGTAAATCTGCTGGAGGTCTGTCCCCAGTCACCATTTTTCTCTTGGTGTCAGGAAAACTAGTCAGAAGCGACTAATGCAGATAGCAGAGGAACAAACTCCCACAGCAGTCTTCACCAACCACACACAATACCAGCGGTGAAGCAAAATTAGAAGGAATCCAAATGTTGTGCTGTGTTACTAAATTCGATGTGTGTTGGTTATATGTATCCCAATACAAAGGATCATAATAGTATTCAAAAAAATTGATATGTGTCCCAACATCATAAATACACATAAAAATGATGAAAAAAAAAAAAACAGGAGGGTGACACCACTGCTCTACAGTGACACACCAATAAAGAAAAATATCAATTCATAAATCAATAAACATAGAACCATATGGAAGTCCACCACCTATATGTAAATGTCCAAATAAAATAAATAGTTATATGTAGGAGGGTTCCACCATCATTGAAAATCGTTCCATATGTTTTCACTTGTGAATGACAATAAGTAGCTTTGTGAATTCTGCTTATTCAGCGCCACATTTTGTATTTTCATTCAATTTTAAATATATTGTTAGTTACACTTGTCAGCAATTTGGGTGAGGCAGCCATCACAAATGTGAGATTTCCTGCCCTGCACTTGGGGGCTAAGAATATGCATGCATCATACATACTAGGGGGAGTACAACAATCTAAAGTCCCTAACACACATTCATAGAATAGGGACAATTTACACAGGAGCCAAAACAAGTACCAGTGCGGGAGGAAACCCACACAGGCAGAACATGCAAACTCCTTGCCTTTAGTGCCACGGCTGGGATTTGGACTGGCAACCCTAGTGCCACTAGGCAGAAGTGCTAACCACTAAGTCATAATGCTGACTGTAATACTGAGTGCAATGCTATCTAGCATATTTAGTAGCACCACAAGTCAAGAATTTAGATATATACTCATAAGTAAAAATTAAAAGAAAATTAAAATTTGACATTAAAAATTATGTCACATAACAGAGATATAACTGTAATGGTTGGATATATATTTAACATCAGAAAATATTTATTTATTTCAGGTACTTATATAGCATTGTCAATTTATGCAGCGCTTTACACACACACACACACACACACACACTATATATAGATATATACACACACACACACATTGTACATTCACATTAGTACCGAACCTGCTTGTGCGCGCTCCCTGGGAGCGCGCAGCACCGCAATCCGGTGCCTGCTGTGTCCTCCGGACACAGTGGAACATCAATCGTCGGACGGGACCACTGTACAAGATCCAATTATGTGATCACTGATTGGCATCATTGCTTACTACGTGTGAAATCTGTGAATGATCACAGAGGTCACATGGTACAAGGCTATTCACAACAGCCTTGTACCATGTGACAAGCTGTGACCAATAACAGCTCACTCAGTAGTTCTCAATGGCTGCAAGAATGCAGCTAGAGAGAAGGAGAAATGATTGCTTTTATATCCTTTATGGGTGTAAAAGCAATCAGTGTAAAAAAAAAAAAATCTTCATCACCCCCCACAAGTAGTACAGTGTCACCATGGTGACACTGTACTGCTAGGGTGACAGTATGTAAAAAAATAAATAAATAAATAAAAAACTAATATAAAAAAATAAAATAAAAAAAAGTTTAAAAATTATAATTTTTGGTTATAAACTAATTTGGGTTATTTTTTAACTAAAAATATATTTTATATATATAAATTTTGGCCAAGATTTATGATGAAATACTATTTATTCGCAAAATTTTATAAGAAAAACACTTTTCAAAATTTTTGGACTTTTAATGTACATAGGAAAAAAAAGAAAAATCCCAGTGGTGAATAAATACCACCAAAATAAAGCTCTGTCTCAAAAAAATGCTAAAAAATTCATATGGGTACAGTGTTGCATGACCACGCAATTGTCATTCAAAGTGTGATAGCACTGAAAGCTGAAAATTGGCCTGGACAGGAAGGGGGTAAAAGTGTCCAGACTGGAAGTGGTTAATTGTTTCAATTAGGTGAAGTTTGGTGTCTAACTTCTATTGCTTCACCTTATTCTTAGTAAATCAGACCCCAAGTGTTCTGGAATGAGACACACTATAGAGGGTATTGTTCATGTTTCATACCTGAGGTTTACAACCGCTTAATAGCAGAAGCAACTACACTCCATTTGATGTACTAGTGCTAGAACCAGGGGCGGACTGACAACTTATGGGGCCCCCGGGCAATAGGGGATCATGGGGTCCCTGTGTCCTTGCCCAAACTCAAAAAAGCCTATGAAAAAGGTACCAGGGGCATCTCATGGGGACCCCTACTGACCCCGGGCCCTCGGACAGCGCCTGAGTTTCCAAATGGTCAGTCCACCCCTGGCTAGAACCCATTGTAATGATAATTATGTTTTGTAAATCTAAAGCTGAGTAAGAAGACTGGGAAAGCTGTACTGATCATTGTCCAATATGTTCGGACGCTAGTCCACAGTCACAGCAGCAATGAGGCCTTATGGATTGTTTCACCCTAGCAGCTACACAAGAACACACCAGGAGCGGTGTAGTCAAAGGCTTAATCCAAAAGTCCAGTTCAAAGACGCTTGGGGGAACTTCTGTAGATTGTAATATCACAATAATTGATAAAAAAACAAAGCTGGTATCCTATAACACAATTCATTCTTTAAAAGCACATAATAATTTTATAATAAAATTATAGTCTTTATTTTTTTACCATACAAACATAGGACTGTAGTCCTGTAGCATCATAAATTACCAGGCTAAAAGTTATCTAGAAGCAGACTGCTTACTAGTCCAGAAGTGACAGTATCATGCCAATGTTGCGATAAACAAAAATCAGCAGCTAAGATAAGTAGAAAACACGTCGATAAAGCTGTGGCCAGATGGTAACGGCTGATGTAGAGACAGGCTGTGGGGTAGGCTGTAGGGTAGAAAGTGCACTCACTCCAAACCCTGTTGGGTCTTGGGATCTCAAGCCAGTGCTCAGCTGCTCAACAGAAGTGACATTATCAGTCCCGGAAGAAACCTCTGGATGGAAAACACACAACACTAGAATGCAAGCCTTGGATGTTGTATTAGGCTATTGTCATGACAACGTGTTTCAGGCATGGCCCTTGTCAAGTTATCCAACATCCGCAGTGACAAGGCTTGCATTCCATTGTGGTGTGTTGTCTGGTCAGCGGCCCCTTTTGGATCTGATGACATAACATTTGGCACCTCACTCTCAGTGACCAGCTGAACTCCGCCTCGAGTTCCTGATTTTTTTGATACTTCTATTTTTATCAAATATTTATTGGGTTTTTCAGAAATAAAATACAATACACATCTAATTAGGTAATTTGACCTTAACCACTGCTTGACTGCGCTATAGCCGAATGGGAGGAGCTCTGGGAGGGAGTCTTATAACATCCCCCCCCCCCCCCCCCCGTGCCCCTAGTGCTCTCTGTGATTGCTGGGTCCTTTGGACACAGTCGATTACATGACATGGTAAATCACAGCGGCCTTTTACCACGTGATCAGCTGTGTCCAATCACAGCTGATCACCATGTAAATACACTTATCGGTTATCAGCAGTACTTTCCGTAAGCTGTCACAGCGTGAGGAAAGTGCTGCCAATAACCAGCAACTGTCAAAAGAGATATCTGCACTGATTATCAGTGCCCTAACTATCAGTGCCCAAAAGCCTGCCCATCAGTGAACAACAGTGCTGTCAATCTGTGCCAGTCAGTGCCCTTCAGTGCTGCCCTTTTTATGCCCATCAGTGACGCATATTAGTGCAGCTTCATCAGTGCCTCCTTATCAATGCCCACCAGTGCTGCCTCACCAGTGCAGCTTCATTAGTGCCCATCAGTGTAGCCTGATCAATGCACATCAGTGAAAGAGAAAAATTACCTGCTTGCAAATTTCTATATAATAGAGACAAAGAAAAACACTTTTTTACAAAAGTTTTGGTCTTTTTTCATTTATAGTGTAACAAATAAAAAACCCATTGGTGATTAAATACCACCAAAAGAAAACTCTATTTGTGTAAAATCAATGGTAAAAATTTCATATGGGTACACTGTTGCATGACCGCGCAAATTGTCGTTTAACCTCCCTGGCGGTCTGATTATGTCAGTATTTCTGTGCTCAAAGCGGTAAATTTTTTGCATGGAAATTTTTTTTATTGTCGGCCTGTAATTCTAAGAATAACTCACTGAAATCTGTCCGAAAAAGAGTCTAGTAAATATCCCGGGTATGATAAAATTTGAAACCCGAAATCAAATAATATAATAAATAATCATAAAAAATAATATAATAATAAATTTTATTCAATAATGTAATCAAACCAAAAACACTGAAATGTGAAATAGAGCTCCAAGTTCGCACATCACTGAGCTTAGTCGCAAAATCGTTTTCAGTGTCAGAGATGAATTTCCCCACGAATCATTATCACTCTATTCTGCAAGTGGTTCTGATTTACTATCACTGTTCTCTAGCTGGTCTAAAACCGCTTTTGACCTAAAGGGATGCTTTTTGGATGCCATGGACATTTCTCAGTTTCAAGGCAGAAAGAATGGTAAAAATGCAGGCAGGGCACAGAACAAAGCACTCGGGACAAAATGTATATGAAATGGTTTGTACAGTAATGTTATACTATGAGATTTTAGTGTATTGAGTAAATGTCACATTTTTAAATTTTGGAATTTCCCGCCGTATCCGTCCCCCATACATCCCAACGCTCGCAGGGAACGGAACCCATAAGACGGATGCCGGCATCGGCTGGAGGAGATGGCCGGGGACACTGTAGGGGGGGACATCGCGGGAGCAAAGGACAAGGTAAGTGCTGGAGGGATCCCTGAATAACGCTGCAGGGTAATCCCGAGTGTAGCTCAGGGTTTTGGTACTGAAAGTTAACCCCGAGCTACACTCTGGAATACCGCCAGGGGGGTCAAAGTGCAATAGAACTAAAAACTGAAAATTGGCCTGGGCAGGAAGGGGGTAAAAGTGCCCAGTAGGCAGTGGTTAAATTGTAACTAAAAGCAAAACTTTTTGTTTAAAGCAGGCCATAATGCAATTTTATTTCCTGCAACCACGATGGATTGACTTGGGTACAAACAGCCTGCCCCACAGATGGTTCAACTCTCGGCTAGTTCAGCAGGGACCAGCCGAAATTGGAATCATTTCTGGCCAACTTAAGTTTTAGATAGAGTTGAGAGAGATTTGAACACCTGTCAGTTTTTATTGCTGTCTGTGCCCCCGTTAGGGAGATTCACTCTCTCTATTTGCCATGTTTACCATTGTTATTGAAAGTGAAAGTAAATGAAAATCCCAAAGGTTTGGGTTGACATTAGAACACTAATAGAGGGGAAACCTTCAAATGGAGACACTAAGATCTGGTGACCCTGGTGATATACTATGATTCCCTCACTTTGCAGGGATTTCCTCCAACTTCCTGGCTTAGCTATGGGACAGGGCGTGAATGGAAATCTCTATAATAGGACACAGATGGGGAAAAAAAAAACCTGACAGGAGCTATAACTCTCCCTTACTCTATCCAAAATGAAAAAAAAAAAAAAAAAAAAAAGGTTTGCATTTAATAACACTTCAACCTGCCCCAGTGATGTCCGCTCTCAGTCTGATTGTAAGCTGGAAGAGCTCTGTGCAGGGTGCAGCTTATTGTGCAATATATCACATCAGAAACTGCCACTATCACACCGATTACTAGGACTTCTGGTGCTCAAGATTTCAGAAACCTCTAATCAGCAATGCCCAATTACCAATTATAATTAACCTTATTTCTATCATGTAGGGGGTCAATAGCATATTGGCTTGGGGGTTGGAGGAAGAGACTGGTACCTTTGGCAGACTATGGATGTGATCATTTGGCCCCAATAATAACAGCCGCCCCAATGACTTCCACATGAAAGCCTATCGCCTAAAAGTAGCACTGCACTGCATCTGAGCACCGCAAATCAAAAATTTTATTTAATTCGTTGTTAATATTCAAAGCAAACTCACCCACCCATCCATGTCTCCTTGCTTTATTTTACTGAGAAATAATATTAGAACACACCCCCTGTGTGTTCTGGCAGTGGCCATCTTGAGTAAGAGCAGATGATTTATGTAGCATTTACTTCCTGTACTATCTGCCCTTAGCTCAGGTATTTGCTGAGCTGAGAACCCTTCCTCCCCTCCTGAAGTTTTCGGGGATGCATGAAATTTGCCTAGGCATGGAAACCAGGAAGAAATTGAAGAAATGTAAAAAAAAAAAAATTAAAAACATTAAATATGATATACTTTCCTATCCATTTACTAATGCTAGCAGCATAAGGATAAAAAAGTCCATGTTGATTGAGAGAGTGAGGTTCCACTTTAAGTGCATTTTAAGAACTAATTTTATATGACCTACTTACCCCTACCTAAA